TTAAATTTACTCCATGCATCATCGATAGACCAGGTCACATCAACTGACCCATCTACCGATTAGACATATTCCCTCATACCCGTAATGTTTTGCTGCTAGACATTCGGGTGAGGTCAGACAAAGTGACGGACCAAATCAAAAACTCTGGGCTCGAATGAAATTACTATGTGGCCACTGTTTACTAAGGGAGGAGTAAAATTTAGGTTGGATATTTCATCCACCTCATGTATCAGGACAATGTCTAGCAAGATTCCTGAGGAGAAGCAATGTACGTGTCACAACGGACGTACTATATCAAGGCATTTTGCGTAAAAATGTGGGAACTAACTATGAAGTGTCCAGAAATTTGAGTTATAATAAATGAAAAATGGAGTAGGAATGTTGGTCGAGAGGCTTGAAGGAGGATAAGTAGTTAAGAGCGCGAAAAATGGAGTGATGTGAGGAAGCTTGAGCGCTAACAGAGTAGACGGTTAATACACCCACCGGCGATACCGTGGAAGGCTCTCTCTATTCGTGGCGTACGCGAGGAGGAAGGGTTTGTGCGTCAGCATACAGCCCATAGGAATCTGGTTGAAATCGGTCACACAGACATTTTGGAGGTTTGAGATTTTAGTGTTAATTTTGAATCGGACTATGAACCCGGATCGCTAGCACCGATATCCTGTAGGGGTAGTGTGCCTACTTAAGGGAAGGGACTACCGGCGTAGTACTGGTGGTCACCCAAGGGAAACACCTTGCTGTTGTTGCACCAAGCCGCCATTACAACTTGCACTGGGACACCGATATCTGTAACTGCTTCTTGTTTAGGCACTATCCAACAAACGTCTTAGTATTGTAAGACGTCGAGGAAACAAGGTTTCCACCAACATAGCTCGTTTCGGTTTTTTTGTAACATGGAGGTAAGATCACCACATATCAAGGTAGCAGCTGTCAGTCGGTGTTCAGCATCTAACAAGAAGTCGGCACCTCTTGGAGTCACTATTGTCAACTAATTTTTTGCCTGTGTTCACTAAATTCTTATTACTTACACCGGAAGAACTTCCAGGAAGAAGTCCCGGATAGTCGACCCCCTGGAGTTTACATCATTGAAGTGTAGTTAAACAATATCCAATTCCTGTTTTTCGCAAGTTGCATATAATTGGATTGCCTACAACTTGCTTTTTAAGTTTACGGAGATATCTACATCCTAAACTATGTCATTAGGGGATTTGTGGACGCTTTCAGTCTGAATGATGCCTTTCTGCAGCAGCTGACTATTCACAATTAGAGAAACGAATGTACGTTGTTTATGCCTTTCACAAGCGATTATATGCTCCCTTCGTGAATGCATCCACGCTTAAAGCGTGGGAATCTTTGACAATTTCGTCTGGATCATCCAGAGCCTGTTACCTGGAGTTGGGTGCCTCTGAGGTCACTTTAGAGACTCGAACAGCACTCTCCTTCTTTCAAGTCACAGATTTAGTGGGCTTACTTCGCTTGGTGAACCTCGCCTGGTTAACTAGTTCACTAGTTACTAGCCGGTCCTAAGCTCGCGTATACAGGGAAGGTTGGGCATACACCTAGCAGCCCTACCCCGTAAAACAAATCTAACCGCTAAACAAACTTCAAAGCACAAACGAAATATAAAAGATAATAACAAAATTATTCCTCGCTGGAATCGGAGAGGCGAAATGACGCCAGTTGGTGAAAGCCTGCCTCCGGGAAGCCAGTTCGCTGATGTGTCTTCGCCTCTCTCCATCAAAGCAAAAGTAAACGTGGCGACATGGAATGTCCGCACCATGTTTGAACCCAGCAAGGCAGCCCAGATTGCAAACGAGATCAGAAGGTATCACACTGAAGTGTTAGGAATTTGCGAAAGTAGATGGAATGGGAGTAGACCCTCCAAACTGTCAACTGGAGAATCAATAATCTATTCCGATATTGTCACCCACACGACAACCACGAACACACTGAGTTTTCGAGTGGCTATCTTCATGTCCCCCCCCAAGAGCATCGAAGGTTCTCTCTCATGCAGTGGGAACCAATCTCCTCATGCAGGATCATAACAGCAAGGGTCAACTCAAAAGGAAGGAAAGTCAAAATCATACAATGCTACACCACGCACCTACAAATAATGCAGTTCAAGAGAAGAAGGAGGAATTCTACAGACAACTGCGGTCAGTACTGGACAAGACACAGTGGGTGACATGAATGCCAAAATCGGAGCAGACAACACAGGAAGAGAACTAACCATGATGATGAACGAGAATAGAGAATTGTTTCCAGGATTCTGTGCATTCAACGATTTGGTGATTGCAGTGAGGCACTGTGTTCAAGCACAAGGATATCCACAAAGCCACATGGATTTCATCAGACACCACGAAACACTAAAAATCAGATCGACTTCATCTCAATCTCAAGAAAATGGAGACGCAGTCAGCCTACTTGACACAAGGTCAATAAGAGGAGCACATGTAGGCTCACACCACTATCTAGTGCAAAACACCTTCAAAATCAAGTTAAAAGCCTTCAAGGAAGTTGGTGATGATAGACCACAGTTCAAGTTCAACACCCAGAACACAAACTGAAGGACGAAACTACAAAGGAAATCTTCACGTCAACCATCAGGACAAAATGGGAGACAGGTATCGATGAACATCCCTGAAGAAACCTGTGTGGAAGAACACTCATCATCATTATCAACATAGGACCAGGCATTACTGCGTAACGGTCCGAGTTGCCACACCTCATATCAGCACATCAAGTAAAAAGGTAGTGAGGTGAAGGATGAAGATAAGTGAATGCAGTCAAAAGAAATATAAAGTACGAGAAGAAAGGAAAGAGGAGTGACAAAATAGTGAGATTCGGTATAGCGTTGTTAAGATGAGGATAATGTGTGTATACATCTGCGCCACTGACTTCGGTTCTGAGCCATATCACCTAGGGTCTCCAACCACTGGTTCCTCTTGTCCCGTGGACCCCAACCACCTAGTCTGCATCGTCCTACATGGCTTAAACCAACAGTCAGAGACTTCATACATTGGTGCCATGTTTTAGTCTGGCCACCTCGGGCCTTTTTCCAGCCTGAACCCACCTCAGCCAACATTGTGTGACGAGGCAATCGGTGACTAGGCATACGTAGTACGTGTCCCAACCATCTCAGTCGATGAAGGTTCACAACCTCGTCGACTGACTTACCTCTTCTCCCAAAACTCTACACCTAACTTCTGCATTACTCACATGGTGACACCACGGAATACGTCCTATACTACGAAGGCAACGGTGGTCAAACACCTGAACCCTTTTTGTATCCTCCACTTTCAATGGCCATGTTTCACAGCCATACAGTAGAACAGAGCGGACTGCTGTGCAGTACACGCGACCCTTAATAGACAAACGAATATCACGGCGGCGCCATAGGTGGCGCAAATTGGCAAAAGCCAATCGAGCCTTTTGTATCCGTGCAGAAATCTCATCGGCAACTAACCCACCGGGTTGATCCTACTTCCCAGGTAAGTGAAGTGGTCAACACACTCAACCACTTCACTCTCTATTGTTAACCGCGGTACCGCTGAAGACCAGTCCTGGAGCAAAAATTTGCATTTGGGTGGTGAAAATCGCATCCCAAACATTCTCAAATTCCCACTCAAAGTGTTCAGAAGACTCTGCATCTTGTCAGCGTCTTCACCTAACAGGACTATGTCATCTGCATATTCTAGATCTAAGGAAAATTCACCTGTGATCGGGTCAACGTCTTTGTAATTAGGTGACGAGAGGGAAACCTCCATAAGAATATCTATGATAAAATTAAATAAGAATGGGGATAGTGGGCATCCTTGACGGACACCACTTGATGAGTATAGCTCCCTGGACAACTCACCATAGGCTCTAACATGCCCACAAGTGTTCGAGTAGAGAGCTTTCAATAAGGTGATGTACTTACTAGGCACGCCTTTCAGTGACAGACACTGCCATAAGACTTCTCGATCAACGGAGTCAAATGCCGCCTTCAGGTCGAGAAATACAGCTATTGTCGGGCGTCTGTAAGCATGCCTATGTTCCAGGACCTGGCGCAGTGTGAATATTTGGTCGATACATCCACGGCCAGGTCTAAAGCCTGCCTGGTTTTCTCGGGCTTGCTGTTCCCGAGCTCCACTCAGGCGTCGGAGAATTATAGAACTTAGGATCTTAGACACTATGTTTGTCAGGCTGATTCCTCTGTGGTTATCACAAGAGGACTTCTCGCCTTTCTTGAAGACTGGGATGATCAGTGACTTAGACCAGTCGGAGGGGATCGTATTTGATTCCCATATACTGGCTAACACTTCCGTTAGCCTGACTAAGAGAACTCTACCACCATTCTTGTATACCTCAGCAGGTAGTCCGTCTGGTCCTGCTGCCCTTCCCCGTTTCAGGCTACCTACCGCTTTCTCAACTTCTTCTAGTGTTGGGGGACCTGTCTCTATGTCCCATTCAGGGTCCGACTGGATAGCGGGCAGCGCAATGGTGGCTGGAGGCCAGTTAAACTGTTCCTCAAAGTGTTCTGCCCATCGTCCCAGTCGCCTTCCCTGCGAGTGAATCGCCGATCCGTCCTTCTCCGCTATAACCTCACTAACTGTTGTTGACCATTTCCCCCCAGTCTCCTTAATAAGTCTAAATAACTGTCTACTGTTACCGATCGCCGCTGCCTTTTCCATCTCTTTAGCCTTTGCTGCCCACCACTGTTCACGATCGTTGCGCAGACTTTTCATCAGTCTATTTTTAAGTTGGAAGAACACTGGAAGTTTTGAAAGAGATGTGGAAAAAAACCTGCACAGCCGTATTAGGAAGGAAGAAGGAAGAAGAAAGAAGCAAGATATGGAATGGATCTCGATGGACGCATGGAAGCTGACAGAGGAGGGAGAGGAAGATGGTGAAGCAGAAGATAAACCAGTGCAGTGCAAGGATGCACAACGAGAAGAGGAACTGAGTACAATGTATAAAACACTACACTGGACAGAGAAGTGAAGAACAGGCTGCAGGTAGGAGAGAGAGACAGAGAGACCTGATAACATTGTATCAAATAACCAGGTTACTATCTGGAATGGAAGAGATCAACACAACCGAAACCAATAAAAGGTGATGACGGAAATCTACTCACCAAAGAAGAGAAACAAAGGAAACAATGGGCTGGCCGACCACTTCAAGAAGCTCTTGAATCGACCAGCACCTACACTTCGTCCAGAAATACCACCTGCAGTCACAGAACTACAAGTGAACATAAATCCTCCAACAAAAATAGAAGTCCTGAACGCCATAAAAATGTTGAAATGTGGGAAAGCAGCAGGACCAGATGGGATACCGCCAGAAGCACTGAGAACAGACGCAGAGACAACAGCGGACATGCTCACACCACACCACTATTGCAGAAGGTGTGGAAGGAAGGGAAGGTACCTGGCAGTTGATTGGAAGAAGGGCTACCTTGTCAAACTCCCGAAGAAGGGAGACATCAGTGTTTGCAAGAACTGGCACGGAATCATGCTCCTCTCCACCCAAAGCAAACAAAATATTAAGCCACATCATCCTAGAGAGACTAAAGCATGCACTGGATTCAAAACTACGACCAAAACAGGCAGGCTTCAGGAAGTACAAATCATGTGCGGATCAAATTGCAACGCAACGCTTCGCATCATCACAGAACAGAGTATAGAATGGCAGTCAACTCTCTACCTCAACTTCATCGACTTTGAAAAGGCCTTTGACAACGTCGACCGAGAGGTAATTTGGAAACTGCTTCAATACTACGGAATACTACAAACCTTTATCAATCTCATTCAGCAACTATGTGAAGACGCCACATGCCAAGTTATTCACAATGGGAAGCTCAGTGATGCCTTTGGAGTGAAAGTGAAGACAGGAGTGAAACAAGGCTGCCGCCTACTATCACCCATGATATTCCTGATTGTAGTGGAATGGATCATGCAACAAACAGTGAGGAGCGAGAACAGAGGGATACGCTGACTGGACCGGGGAAAAGAACTTAGAAGATTTAGATTTCGCCGATGAATTATGTCTAATGTCACACAAACTTCAAGATCTACAGACAAAATCAACAAGTTGACAGAAGCGGAAAGGCAGAGAAGACGGGACTTCAAGTGAACGAAGAGAAGAAACAGGTGATGAAGATACCCAACCACCACCACCAACAACAACAACAAGCCCCGATCACCATCAACGGGAGAAACTTAAAGAAAGTAACCTCCTTCACCTATCTATGCAGCACTGTTTCAACTGCAGGTGGCACAGACGAAAACGTCAAATTCACAATCGGAAAAGCAAGGCAGGCGTTCATTAGCCTGAAACCAGTATGGAGATCTTCTGCACTCAGCATGTGGAACAACATCCGGATTTTCAACACGAATTAACTCAAGTCAGTGCTTCTGTATGGTTCAGAGACTTGACGCGTCACGAAAGGGATTTCCAATAAACTGCAGACATAAGTCAACAACTACTGCCTACGCTTGCCCCATACTGAAGATCAGATGGCCAGAATAATAAGAATAAGAGACAAGGAACTCTGGCTGGTTGCCAACGAACCAACCAAGAACCTATCACCCAACAAATATGCAGAAGGAAGTGGAAGTGGAGATGGATTGGGCATACACTGAGAAGGCCGACTGGGGACATCACGCGTCAGGCCAGGCACTCGAGTGGAATCCAGATGGGAAGCGACGAGTTGGGCATCCGAGAGTGACATAGAAGAAATCGTGCGAGGAGGAAATGAGAGCTTGTGGGCTGTCGTGGAACCAGGTTCAAAAGATTTCAGGGGACAAAGCTCATTGGAGTCGTGCTACTGAAGCCCTATGTTCCATTAGGAACCCAAGGGACAAATAATAATATTTAATAATACTTCGTTTGGTGATTTCATTGGGAGTTTGAATGTGCTTTCTTCGATCATCAGAAATGAGTTTCCTACTTGAGCGTTTAGAACGTCTCATTGACTTCGTAGAAGAATGAATCAACCCAGAATCTCACTTGTTTACTAGTGTGCAACAGCCTGACGTTCAAAAACGTTGGATGACTCCTTCTTCAGTCAGTAAGTTAATATCAACGTGAGACGTGGCATTACTCTTTTTACCGGTCCAATCATCACACTTTATATCAACACATATAGCGAAAAGTCTTCAGGATGAAAGACAGAGATGTGTAGAAGAAAGTGAGAGTAGTTGGAAGCCATGAAAACAGGTTAACATTGAATGCAGCAATAATGAAATTTGGTCTGACGATCGAGATAAACACAATATACGAACACATTTGCGTTAATGAGATCGATTCTCTTCCATGTCACCTTAAGGTCAATAAAAATGGCAAGTATGAGGTGCTAGCATGTATCTATTTAACAGAACCTATCGAAAGGTAATGATCTGGTTCATGCATACTCATTGTTTTTAAAACTGCCCGATTTCCCCGAGTTTTTTGTTCTTAATATCCAGTTAAGTGTCATGTAGCTATGAACCTTGGGATCTTGGATACTACATTAGCCAAACTGACCCCTCTATGGTTATCACAAGATCTCTTCCTTTATAAAATGGAATGACTAGCAATCTAGACCAATCTATCACGACTACCTCTTGTTCTCGTACACTAGGTAGTATCTCCATTACTCTAGTCAGTAATTTTGTTTCCTCAAAACCTTCTAGTGGCAAACTGCCTGGTCTTGCTGCATTGTATTGTTTCTGATTTGAAACAACCTTTTCAATGTCGGGGAGAAAAGGAGGATTGATGTCTGTGTTTCATTTTGGATCAGGTTGCCGGGATGGTTGGCCAATTCTCCCAGACCTTTAGTGTTTCTTCAACTAGTGTGTCTGTGATGAACACTACCTTCAAATCAATCCCTCCAAAATAACATTTGGAAATTTATTTGTCTACCTATGTCGAAGACTTATTTGAAGGCATAATTCACACCACAATATGTCGAAATGATCTTCTGGAGTGATTGCACTGCTGAACACATATTGCCTAAATTTCTCTAAAAATGAATTAGATATGGATGGTGATTGAGAGATTTGCCATAGAACATACAATTCCGGATCTTGCTTTTGTATTGTAACGGCTTGATCAATGCACGGTAGTCATTTCTTCTGAATACTCTAAAATAAGGTGAATGAATCTTCTGAAATTATGCCCACTTACACCCAGATTTTTTAAGAAAAAACTGTTGGTTGAAATAGATTTACTTTTACACAACCACAACGGAAGTTGTCTGTATTACAGACTGTTTAGAATCAAATTGTGGTGTAGTTCATTTAGGGTGACCCCAAGTCGATTGATAGTCGCATCCTACATTTCGTTGATACCACCTTAGGAGATTCGTTTTGTGAGATTTACACAATAGAATTCTTCTTAAAAGTATTATCAGACGTCTACTATTCGCTGATCAAGCCTTAACAATACAGTAAGGGGCAGAATTGTGTAATTAAAATCAAAATTTCCAGACCACTTTTCTGATTCTATCAGCAACACTATAAATGCCTGAGTGAAACAACCAGATTGACAGTTAACTTACTTGCTATCTTGAATCACTAAACGCTGTGCTGTCCCATAATCCATCAAGAATTCGAATGAATATTCCATGTCATTATTTCAACAAGAAAACTGAAGTTCGCTGGAGTTTTTAGTGATTGCATATTGGTTGCAAAAATCGTTGAAGAAAGGATAAACTTCTATCTGCTTATCGAGGTATGAAGAAACACTAGCATAGTATACATATTACATATATGCATAAAATTCGCTGCATATCCTGACTACGTCAATCGGAGATCCATCCAGACAGCTGATCGATCAAACAACCTACTATATTAATGAAACAGCCTTACGCGAAGCTATTTCTCTACCTTATCGTGCTAAGTAGAATTCATGGCCGATTTGACCTTGAGCGTGTTGACCAATCACAGACAGTCTATTGGTTAGATGCATAAAACTGCTTGTCTGTATGCGCTCATTAGTCTGTCCTTTGACACTAGCCGGGATTCGATCGCTATACCAGTAACCTACTACGCGCTCTCTTACCCAGGCGTTAAGATTTCTAGAAAAATGAAGGACTAGACAGACATGTCTTGCATGCTTAATATCGATTGTTTTTTCAGGCCGTCATGGCCTACGACTATCTGCCCTAGCAAAGCTGAAAACTAAGGGATTTTCGTACATTCAGTTGCAACGGATTCAGCTCATGGAATTGACTTAAATTATTTGTGAGTGACTGCTTTTACGCTTAAATTTTACTTTGCGTGGATAATGTGTGTGAATTTCTTGTAGAATAATTAACTTTTTTATTAAATCGTATTTAATGAATGCTGGAATTTTCATCTTTTATGCGTCAGACTCACTGATTAAAAATTTTGATGATAGCTGGAATTAGATTTATTACATTTCATAGACTGTTGAACTTAAGCATAGGACTGATAAATTTTATTGCTTTTCCTAAGTTTGACCTTTGGTCGACCATATATATGATTAAATTCGACACTAACTAGTGGTTATTTACCTTTACCAACTGTTATTCACTTTGGCACAAATCCAATGGTGTGCATAGGGAGAGCAAAGGCATACTTATTGTTAGTGAAATCAGTCTTCTATTGGTATTTATAGGTTGGAATATCACTCTATTTACTCGAGTGTGCACAAAAAGCATCGGTGTGGCCAATAGCCCGGTTATGTTGAGTTATACTGTTTCATTTAAGATTTAGTTACGATACTATTCATAAGTGTTAGAGATTCACCAATAAATTGGATGATAGTTATCACTAACTTAAAGTACACGCACATTGAACTGGTTAGTCTTGGCAACTTATAAAGCTGAAACTAATGATGCTGGAGACTACACTTCGTATCTTCGTTTTTCTTAATGAATATAGATATTATTTGTATACATCAACCTATGCTTATTTAGTTGTCTGCGAACATTTTTTGTATCAAGGTGGCTAAGACCAACTTATTCAAGTCTCACGGAAGTTGAGATTATGTTCTTTTGATGACGTCGGTACCATGTCTAAGTCAACGACTACCTCGACGTGCAATGTTGAACTGAATTAAAAGAAGTCTAAAGGTAGCGAGATCAAGATGTTGCACCAGACCGCGAAGTATTTGGCTGTTGCCGTGAGCCGTGTAGGGTGTGGGCTGTGTGACTGATTGGAGTCCTCAAGTCGATAGGAACCAGTGGTTGAAGACTGTTGGTGATACGGCTGCATGTTGGCCCCGATGGCACAGATATATATCACTCTTCGTCTTCCTTGAAGTCTTGAATGTTGTAGTTGGACTCTATTTGTTTGTCCTCCCAACACTAATTCACTTTTATGTAGTTTTATGTTATTTTTCTTTTCTTCACATGTTCCTTGCATGATTGTTTGGAGTGTGTTATCTTGAAGTGGTGCACTGTTTGTCAGGTTCTTCGTTGATTTGTCTGTCACTTTCTGAATGGTGGACCAGGATGCGCAATACATACCTAAGCTGGCGCTCTCGGTGGAGTTTCATAGCCTCATCAACTGACTTACCTTCCCTGCATAGTACTTTCCACATAACCTTGACATTGCTTACATGGTGGTTTGACCAAAATTTAGGAATGCTGCAAAGGCACTTGTGAAAAGAAACCTGAAACTTTGACAGAATTTTTTTCAGCGGTCATACCTCACAGCCGTATTATAGGAAACAGCAGACTAGAGACGTATCTTCATCCTGGCCAGCATCAGAGGTGACTCAGGCTGGCAAATGCAAAACGGCCATTCTTCATTCAGCAACCATCTCGTTCGGGCTCATGCAAAACTCTAAGTGGTCGACACATTCAACTACTTCAGTTCCTATCCTTAAACTAGGAGTACTTGCATACTACCCCTCGGGCATCATCATACGCTTGCTAGATGCCAACTAGACGCATGCCAAATGTACTCAAATTTCTGCTCAAGGCATTAAAAGACCTGCATTTCTTCCAGTCTTTGTCGTCTGTACGCTCCGAGTCAACGAGGTGTTCTCTATGAAGATCAATCCGTATTGTCAGATTTTCCCGAGCTTATGTTCATTAGTACGTCAAAATTAAACAGAAAGTGACAGCATATATCTGAAAGACAGACAAGATCAACATAGGACCTATCATTGCTGTGTCACGGTCTAAGTTACTACACTTGTCAGAGATTAGGTGACAATGCACTAAGATGAAATGTCGAGAAATAGAAAAAAAGCAGTTAAAAGTGGTAGA